GAAACACGACTTCACTCCAATGGCAAAACATTGAAGGAACTAAATTTTCGTGGACAATTCTTCAAATCTCAAGCAAGTGCAAAATTTCCCATAGATCGCGTAATACATTATTTGGCGCCTTGGTATTTGGGGAAGCTGAATACCGCTCCCATGGTTACCCAGCTGGACTGAATGCTCTCATAGCGAGATCAGGTATGGGGAATTTTAGGGGGCTAATGGCCGTAGTATAGAGGAAAATGAAAATTATGCAAAGGTACTTACATGCAGTATAATTGAGATTCTCCGAGTACCATGTCGAACACGTAGGGATTCATTATGCATTTTCCATCATTAGTCCCAGTTCACCACGACGTTTAAAGCCATTGTGATGCAAATAAGGCCAGGTAGATAGCTGGCAGCTACACACAACCCCGCCATTCTTCCCGGAACGTATCTAGAAGAACAATGTTGTTGCCCCCATATTGGGAGGGCGATGTAGAAACGTTCCAAAACGTCAGAACCTCCTTCTAAAGAGATAGCGGAGGGTAATGAATCCCTACGTGTTCGACATGGTACTCGGAGAATCTCAATTATACTGCAGGTATAAGTACCTTTGCATAATTTTCATTCTCCTTCGTACCATGTCTCACACTCCGGGATTCATTATGCATGTTCAAAGCGCAACAGCATTGTAAATGAAGACATTTTTAAATAAGAATCAAAATTACATTCCTAATACAGTGGAAGCAAATGAATCAGGGCAAATGTCCCTACGGTAAAATCGGGTAAAAGTACTTTCATTTGACCAGTCCGCGGCTTTTAAAATTGAGTCAATTGAAACTCCCTGACAATGTGCCTCGGAAGTGGCGGCCCCACGAAAACTGTGACCTTTAAATATGGAAGTGTCAATACCTATATATATATAGACATTTTAGCAGTATCAAGAGCAACCAAAGTTTGTGCTCGTTGCGCAGAAACCAACGCAAGCAACGCACTAAGTTTAAGAGATAGTACTTTACGCGATAAATCTCTTACCGGATGTAGCGTCTTCAAGTACAAAAGGACTGTATTTACGTCCCAAAATCCCGAATATCTAGGAGACGATGGCCGTTCATTATGCATTCCCCTTAAAAGGCGGATGACTATCGGATGTTGTCCAATTAATTTCCCCTCCGTAGGAGGAAGGACCGAAGACAGCGCAGAGCGGTAAGTGTTAATGGTACTATAACTTTTACCCAAATCAAACTCACGCGTCAGGAACTCAACTATTTGAGAGGTAGTTGTTGGAAACGGATGAAGTGACCTTCAACCACACCAGCTAGTGAATGTCGTCCAGGCCGATCCATACTGTTTATTTGTGCCGGATCGCCATGAATTGATGATGAGCTCGGCTGACCGCGGAGAAAATCCAGAATGTGCGAGCTGACTCCGGAGACAGGCCACGCGGCTAGTACCAGTGTGTTCCGTAGAGGATGGAGCTGTGTCTTGTTGATGGTTAGGAGATCTTGTTGGTGCGGAAAAAGTATTAGCTGAGAAATAAACAGGGATAGAAGCGTTGGATATCAGGGGCACGTTGTCCAACACGGGGCTATCACAATTGCCTTGAGCACCTTGTTCTGTTGAATTTTTGCAAGTACTTTTCCCAATAAGGTAAAGGAGGAAATATGTATGAAATATATTGGTCCCAAGGAACAGAAAACGCATTGAAAAAAGTTGCGTCAGGGTCAGGCTTTCAAGATACAAAACGGGATAGCTGGAAACACGTGATGCAAACAGATCTATAACTGAAAAAAAAGTGTTTCGATAATACTGCGAAAAACAGTAAGGTTTAATTGCCACTCCAAATTTATATTTTGTTTCGTGATAAGAAATCAGCATCAACATTTTGGCGGCCTGGCAAATGAAAAGCCTCAATACAGCAATTGCGTGAAATGCACCACTCCCAGAATTGGTTCATACCGCCCATATTATTTATATACATTACAGCCGTGGTATTGTCTGAAAAAACCTTAATAAACTTAGCTCGGACTGATCTAAAGGTTTTAATAGCAAACCAATTTGCCAATAGTTCAAGATGATTAATATGGCAACTGTGTTCCGCGGATGTCCAAGCACCCCCAGTTTTATCTGTGCCGCATACTGCTCCCCAACCGACTTGGGAGGCGTCTGTAGTAATAGAAAAAGTATCTATCGGTTTCTGAGGGTCAACACCGTTATAAAATCGTGCACTAGTAGCCCACCAGTGAAGATCTCGGAACACAGCCGGCGTAAGTACGACATCGATATCGAAATTGTTGTTGTTAACTCGTAAAGTCGACAATTTTAAATGTTCTAGTGCCCGATAATGCAACCGAGCAAGCAAAATAGCCTTTAAGGAAGAAACAATCAAACCAATCTCTTGGCTAAAATTCGTACAGAACAGTGTTTTTGCCGAAGTAAATCGTTGGCAAGCAATGAAATCAGAGTAATTTTGTCGAGAGGAAGTGAAACCCGCATCTTACACGTGTCAATCAAAAAACCAATGTATACAGGTAACTGATGAGGCACAAGCTCCGATTTATCATAGTTAATTACAAATCCCATCTCTTGTAACAATTTTATAACAAACGAGACCTTATTAAATTTTGAGCAATCGATGAACGAGTCACCTAAAACAGCGATATCATCCAAGAAAATCATTATTCTAATTGCTTTGCCACGGCAAAAGGAAATAATAGGTTTCAACAACTTGGTGAAAACGCGTGGGGCTGAAGATAAACCAAAGGGCAAGGCCACGAATTCATACAGAATACCTTTCCAATAAAAACGGAGATATTTTGAGTATTCTAAATGCATAGAAACTGTAAAATATGCATCTTTAAGGTCAATGGTAGCAATAAAATCATTCGGCCGTAATACAGGGAGTCCCAAAAAAAAGCAACCACTTAAATATGCAGAACATTAATACAGCTCTAAAGCGCAGTAGATATACAGGGTGTCCCCAAAAAAACGAAAACTATTGAAATCAGTCATTGTTAAAATTTGAATGCCGTGTTCACGAATTTTAGCCCGTGGGGATTTAATGCAACTTATAAACTGCTAAATGCTTTGTGTTGCTAGAGAAAGGGGACATGTCGAAGGTCATGGTCCTTGAGATGCACATTTAAATATTGTTATCCATATTTGTAAATTGTAAATATTGTTAATAAATATCATTTTTGCGTACAGGCAAATTTTACTGCATGCATGCATAAAAATGCGTATGGCAAACATTTATACACCTGTAGGTCCCAACAGAGTTCTTAGGCATTCAAACTCCAACAATTGCATTGTTATGGGTGATTTCAATAGTTTTCGGTTTTTTTGGGACACCCTGTATAAGCACCTCTGGGAATTGAAAATGGCTCTTAATCCTTCATTTACAATGCTAAAAGTCATTTTAGCTGAACTATGGTGCAAACCCGAACAATATTTAAAATATTCTTGCATATTTAAGTGTTGCGTTTTTTTTGGGACACCCTGTAAATCTATTAGCGAGTTTATATTTTCCATTTTAAAATGCAAATACTCGACAAAATTATTTAAGGCTTTTAAATTAATCACAGAGCGCATTTCACCCGACTTCTTAGGGACAAGGAAAAGTCCAGAAACAAATTGTTTTGGATCGTAAGCGCACTTACGTATAGCCCCTTTGTCAATCATTTTAGAAACTTCAGAGTCGAATATCTTTAGTTCTGGAGGGCTGAACTGTTTTTTATCAGGCCCTAATTGAGCTTGCATAGGCTCGCGTATGAATAACCCAAGGATCAGAAGTTAGCTTCCCCCAATGACACGCAAATAAACGTAACGAGCACCAACCTGAACACAAGTCGCAACATTAGATATATCCGAGGTCACTGAGCCGCACTGTAGCGGGGAGGCTGCGACGCTTGTTGGTTGCTTCCCCGTCCTTGTTGTTGTTGATATGGTCGCCGATTTGACCACGGACGGCGCGGGTCGGAACGAAGTTTAAAGGCTCGCTTGACCTTGAATATTGAGATGGACGAGAAAATTTCCTGTTGGAATTATTCTCACCAACAAATTTACGTTTCGCAGTAACTTTGCGAAGAGACATACGTTTGACTTGAGCGATGTCTCGGATACTCTGTGGAAGCTCATCCCCAAATAATAGCGAGGATACGGGTTGGTTATCACGACATAGGGATTTATATCCCGCAGCGACTTCGGTTTTCAAAAGCCCTCGCCGTTTCATTGAGAACTCATACAAGGCATTTCCCAAAAGTGTAACAGCATCCACCAAGGACTTATAATTTGCATCTGTGGGAATTTGATCAGAACTTTTGGTTTTCGCAAGCACCGCGGTGTTTGCAAGAATAATAATGGGATAACATGCTTTAACAAATTATTTTTGAAGATTCTGGAGGCCAACGTCGCGCATTTTGGCTGTGTCAGACAAATCCTCCCATAACTCTGGATTTACTCTTGGAGCCACCAACATTGCATGTGCAGTTTTTCGGGCGTAAATATCACTCTTGTATTTTATTGAGTTTATCTTTCGCAGGCTTTTTAGTACAAGCCAAATCGACCCGGTCGGCTAACTCTTTAGAAATTGCGTCGCCATATTCGTCTGGGTCGTTAAATAAATCTGAATCTGGGAGAGCATTTAAGTCTAACTCTGAATGAACAGTACTGGGACTAATGATGGAAAATGTATAATGAATCCCGGAGTGTGGGACATGGTACGAAGGAGGATAAAATATTTTGTAATATATATAAATTTTTCACTAATTCAGTTGTATTCAAATTAAAAATGTATTTATTAATCGAAAATGGTAGGAGTTAGTTTACATCATTTGAATCATTGGATTCTCGGAAATGACATGCTGTGAAGGTTGAAGATGTAGCACTTCTTTTTTCTTTATTTCTGTATATAGTCACAGCCACTTGGTCACGATGGTCTGAATGGTCCGAATGCACTGTTTCGTGTAACACGGGAACCCAAGTGCGAACAAGGACATGTACGGGAACAAACTTAATACTGAATGACAACCGGCGGTGTCCTGGAGCGGATTCAGAGACTCGAGAAGGAACGTAAGATTATATTAACTTGGCGGGCATTGCGGTGTATTTTGCGGGCTAAAATAATTAATTTGCTAGGCTGAAATATATTTTAGCCCCTGGTATAAGCCAATCAGAAGAATGACTGAAGTGTTTACCTATTGCATAATTTTTTATACAAAAATTGGCCTTTAAAGTTAATAGTAAATGAGCTCAGAGTCGCACCAAAAACACATTTATGCCCGCAAACATCAACTCTATTATCATATTAAGATTATCTAAGCTAATGCAATTTATAGGACGAGCTGTTGCCTCCGTAGACTATTGAAATCCCGTGTTTAAGAAGGCTCGGGATTACTATTTAGTAATGTATAATTAAATTTGATTTAGTTGCTCAAAGTAGGATCCTGCCCAGGCCGGATGGGAAATAAGATACATTCCACTTTCTTATGAACACGAAAAATATTATAAAATCATATGCAAGGTGCATGATGAGGTCCCGGTCATTATCTTATCTGAGAGCCTTAGACTAGTATTACGAATGACATAAAATCTAAGCAGTTAATTCTTTCAATTTTAGAAATTTGTGAGAAAATTTCATTCATTGAAAACGGTCATCTTACACAAGAAGGAGATGAAATAATTTTTGTGTGCAATGAGGGCTATGTGTTAGTTGGAGAGAAAGTTTTAAGATGCACGTGGAATGGAAAATGGAGTGGCGCACAACCACAATGCAAAGGTACCTGAATATAAATAGCATGCAGCGTCTTAATCAAAGTAGTGCATAGTTTCCTTTAAAGCCGACGCGTGCGGCTAATACCGAGAATCTCTTACCGAAATAAAGAGGTTCGATTTGGTTGAAAATTATCGCCACAAAGTTTAAGTGGATCGATTTCATGCAGTTAATAACTTCTAATATATTATGAACAGAGAAGCAAATGACACTCTTGAGACACATAATTGAATATTTTGATTATATTGGCTCCATTCCAAAATGCTTATTAGCGTGAATTCTTACACGCTAATTCTTACAGTCTAGGAAATTTACAGTCTAAATCCATTGACATATTTTATAAAGATTAACCGCGGTTTCTGTTAGGTTATTTCTGAACAGTACTGTAAGAGTTAACATATTTTAGCTCTGCGAAAACATAAAGGGGCAAATATTTTCATGTTCACCGACTGGAAAAACAATCAATTTCATTGATTGTTTTTCCAGTATTTTCAGATGCGCAGAAGGGGTTAAAGCCGCTTCTGCGCATCGGTTCTACTCATAACATGGGGGGCTCCATGATTTGAAAGTTGCCCAAACTTCGCATGTTCTGAATTTTTGAAATGGCAATAAATATTCTGATAGGACAGGGTATTTTAAGAGACATTGCGATTCAATATGTAAACAAAACGTTTGTTTACATCGCTGACTGGAACCCACCTTTAGAAATGATAAATTGTAATACCTCGGACTAATCCCCAGGTTTCCTGCCCCACTGAACCGTTAACAGGCTGCTTTCGTTATTTGTAAGGCCAAATAGGTCTTTTCCCCGTATTCTTTTTCTCCACAGAAACGTGTTCTGATCCGAACGAAAGTACTAATGCAAGAGCGATAGGATTTGATTTCTATGACGGGAAGCAGGTAGAATTCGTGTGCCCTCAAGACCATATACTTGTTCCAGAAGCATCGAGAAAATTGACATGTGAGCGTGGAATATGGGATGAAGCATTTCCATCATGTAAAGGTTAGAATTTCTTAAATCGCGTTTAAGATAATCAACGTGATTTATGGATACATTTCTATGGCGCATGTCGTGATTTTTCCTTCTTATACTATTCGTTTCATCCAGGCATTCCAAAACCTTGTTCTGTAATTGTTTCGAAATCCGAAGCTGAATCGTTCAAAAGCTTTTATAAAGAAGACTATGTTAATTCAACTACTTCATCTTCCCTTTGTAATTGTGGGATTTTAAAATTGCAACATATAACGGTTTGAAAATATGAGCGTTGAGCTTGTTTGAATTCTGAGCCGACACTGTATATTTTTCACATAGCATCATGCCCATCGCTGGGAAGGATCGTTAACGGAGTTATAAATAGTACAGATAAAACACATGGTTCTGTCGTCCAATTTGCGTGCCTTGATGGGTATAAGCTAATTGGCGCATCTAAAGCAAGGTGTGATGATGGAGGGTGGACGGAAACTTTACCGCAGTGTTTAGGTTTGTACTGCATGCAGATTATAATGGAATTCGATTTGCCTTTTTCACGGACGATTTTTGCCTTCCCAGGTTTGAAAAAACGATTTGCTTTGCAAATCTCTTTTAAATTTTCACAAGGGGGAATCTAAACTGAAATATCCTCAAACTGAGTTTCAGCGGCATTCGTTAAGTAGAACACAGTACTGTCTAGAAATAACCTAACAAAAACAGCGGTTAACCTAGCTCAAACCTCGGTTTGATCGCGATTGAATCGAGGTCAGACCGAGGTCGAACCGCGGTGAGACGGAGGTCTAACCTCGGCCTAACTCGGTCTGACAGACTTTTCATGTTTTAGAGATGTTTTCTATGTGATTATTGTGTTGTCATTTTCATGCAGCTGTTCATAACATTCCGTTCGGAAGCGAACGGCAACCGCGATCGTATTTTTTCTGCGCTTTCTAACGGTCGAACGCAACCGAACCGGGACCGAATCGCAACCTAACCGCAGCCGAACCGCAACCGCAGGTTATTTCTGAACAGTACTATGTAGCTCATTCGATATACTGTCTTGAAAAATGACTGAGAAAAAATATGTTAGATGTTTTCTTTACAGGCCAATTTTGTCACGGTAATGGTAATATAAAAATAGGCAGTGTAGGTACCACTTCTTAAAACCTACATACAAATAGTTGTAGACCATTAATATAGCTATTATCGAGGTTTATTTTACTATAGCACGGGTTAAAGTTTCTATCGTGAAGTAGGGCAAAATCAGATATTTAAGTTAGCTAAATAGCTAATAGATCTCTGTAAGTAGATCTCTCTAAATAGTCCTCTGTAAAACAGGAATTGGGCTTGGCTTCCTTTGTGCATCTGAAATGATAATCGATCTAAATTGATTACCACGATCACAACTTGAACACAGAAGACCCTGGGAACGGGGTTGCGATCACAATTCCCCAACGCTCCGTAAAATGGAAGAGGGGAGAAACCAAATTTCATTATTCTTTTTTGGAAAATGTAGAATTTAAGGAAAAAGTGGAAAAACGTCGCTATACTGCTATCATTTCGTAATAATATATATTCATAGTCCAGTCAATACAGTACTTCCGATTTACTTTTTCAATTCATTTTTATACTATTATTTGTAGCATCGTGTCCGGAGTCAATATTACTTAATGGTCTAGTACGAGGTCAGCACCGTGAACATGGGTCGTTGGTACAGTTCATATGCAACGATGGTTATCAGCTAACTGGCGCATCAGCAGCTACATGCAATAATGGAAAGTGGTCAGAAGAAATACCCAGCTGCTTAGGTACTGTATACTGCATGTTTTTAAGAAATTTCTTGAGAAACGCGGCTCTAACCTAAGAATATTGAAATAAGTATATATAGGGAGTGTCTGTGTTCATTAAATGTAATTCTCGTAGTATTAGTTTGAGACTATCTATATACAACACGTCATTATTGTAAAAAGTTTCCATGTGCAGCCGTAGTTAAAGCACGGAGTAAATTAAAGCGACCTATAATGAAAATGCGTGCATGCAATGAACTCTTTAAAAAATTCAAGTGCCAAATCTAATTCTCCTTCGCATAATACTCCGCACTGCAGGATTTATTATGCATTTCTCGCCACTATTCACCAGGCCATCATGGTTTAAACTTCTTTGTTATGCAAATCGAGCCCTATATAAACGACAATGAGCCCTTCCCAACCGTCTTTTTTTTCGCGTGCATAAAACCAGGCTCGTCGACTTATAAACTACAATGACGGAAAGACAACCTCTAGGGGTCGTTGATACAGATGAACCGATCTTCCTGTTCATTCAGAGCTTTCTAATGATGCCAGATTTGATGTCCTATCGAATGTCGAACCAGATAGCGATGTTAATTAACTGAAGCAAACAACACGGAACCTATTGGCCTTGATCTTGAGGAAGAATCGCAAGCTGATACATATTCTGTCTTCGACCCGAATGAGAGTCTTACCAGCGGCTCAAGCGGCAAAAGCCTCGAAGAGGCAGAGTTGCCGTACGACGATTTATTCAAGGACTCTGAGGACTGCGGTCCTAAGGTTCTCGACGGCGTTGCTAAACGTATTAACAGCTCGTGTACTAAGAAACCTGCTAAAGAGCAATTTCAGAGTATTCAACGGAAATACTTGCGACCGGAGAATTGTGAGTTTTTAAAAGCTCCTAGAGTCAATCGAGAACTGTGGGACGATTTACACGATAAAACCAAGTCACCGGAAGTTTTTTTTCAGGCGTTTCAAAGGAATTTGATCAAAGGAGTCATTCCGGTAATTATGCTGACCAATAAAATGGTCAACGCCAAGAAAGATAAAAAGGATACTATTGCGGTATCGGATGTCTACGATTTGGCTGTCGACGCTCTAACACTTCTTGGTAATTCAGTTTACGAATTCTTAATGAAGAGACGGGAATCTCTCAAATCTGAAGTGGCGCCAGCTTACAAATCATTATGTCATGAATCGCAGCCTATAACAACGATGCTCTTCGAGCGAATTTCTAACTGATAAGTTCGAGGTACAGAAGAAGGCATATTCAACAGTGAAGAAATACGGGTCAGCGTTATCTTCTATATTGCCCCCGGTAGACGGGGCCTTGTTGGGGGAACACCCGGTTATTGTACGACTATTGAAAGGAATGTTTGTCACACGTCCTCCCCAACCAAAATATTCCACTACATGGGACGTTAATGTCTTGCTGGAGTGCTTAGAATTATGGGATCCACTTAAGGATTTGACATTAAAACTTTTGACTCTCAAAACTGTGACCCTGGCAGCTCTTGTTTCTGCTCAACGCAGCCAAACCTTGGCTGTATTAATTTAAGCGTTGATTCTATGGCTAAGACGCAGGATGAAATTCAATTCGTTGTAACGGACATTTTAAAGACATCTCGTCCGGGGAAAGCTTCCCTTGTGGTACACTTTCCTGCGTTTCCTGAAAACAAAAAGTTGTGTGTATACTCTACGTTGTTGGCGTACATTGCCCGGACTACGGAAGCTAGACAGTCCTTGAACACTTCAAAGTTATTTCTCTCATTTGGCAAACCATATAAAATTGTTTGCGCATCTACAATTGCTCGCTGGCTAAAAATGGCGTTGGATTTTTCCGGAATCAACACCGATATATTCAAAGGGCATAGTTTTAGATCTGCTTCTACCTCGAAAGCAGAGGCACTTGGTGTATCAAAAGACGTCATCTTACGAACTGCAGATTGGAAACGATCTGGAACTTTTGTACGTTCTACAAGAAAGCTATAAACGATGACGCTGTGTATGCAAAAACGATACTTAGTTCATGAAATGGAATGTTTTCTGCTTGTGTGTCCAATTAAATATGGCCTTGAACTTCTCTTCAGTACGTGTGTATTAATGTTCGGTGCTCAGGCCACACTTTAAACATGCATAATGAATCCTGCAGTGCGGAGTATTATGCGAAGGAGAATATAAAATTAGACAAAGGTCTTACCTGCAGGATAATTGTGATTCTCCGAGTATAATACGAAGCACCAAGGATTCATGTCCCTCCCGACACTTGTCATAGTGTACCCACCTAGGTATGCCCGCTCATTAAGACGGTTGGGAAGGGCTCATTGTCGTTTATATAGGGCTCGATTTGCATAACAAAGAACTTTAAACCGTGATGGCCTGGTGAATAGTGGCGAAAAATGCATAATGAATCCTTGGTGCTTTGTATTATACTCGGAGAATCACAATTATCCTGCAGGTAAGAACATTGTCTAATTTTATATTTTTTGCCTCATTTCACAGCCATATGCAGTAAAATCTCAATTATTGCGAATGGACATGTAATTGGAAAAGGGACAATTGAGGGAGATGAAATAGCATTCGTTTGTGATCCAAACTTTGTATTAGTTGGGGAGAAAGTTTCGAGGTGCACCAGCGCTGGAAGCTGGAATGCCTCATATCCAAAGTGCGAAAGTAAGTATTTAGGCAGAACATGCCAAAAAATTATTGATTTTATTATTGATTTGAGGAAAGCAACGATGTCAATGTCATAAGGATTGAAGTGTGGTCGTGAGATAATAAAAACTCTGTAAAACGTAACTGAATATAGCTACAATCATATACATTTCCTGATTGCAAAAATTTCTTCATTTAATTTACTTAATATCCAAACATTTTCCACCTACGTCATTAAGTAGCAGTATAGTTTCTCGTACATGCAATCAAGTCGACTCCGTTCAGTTTAGCACCCATAAAGGATGTGTAAAAAATTCTGTATAAAAGCAGAGCCTCTTTAAGTAAAAAAAAATGCGCTCATGAGAATTTTACAGATAATTTGGACTCTCGCTATTTGGCTGTTCAATACCTCTGCATGTTTATAACTTCTGAACGAATAGATAAGAAAAATGGTACGAATATTGTATAAGAAATAGTAATTTATTTATAAACTTCAAATTTACCTTAACACCATTTTGAAATAAAAAGATAAAGCGAGCAACTAAAGCGCAATTTTATGCATAATAATACAATAATATGATGTAATAAAAAAAATTTTTCTGATCGATTAATTTGTTAAATTATCTTTTATGTCATGAAACTAAAAATGTCTTTAAATTTAAGAATAATGTTTTGAATTTCCCTCCTATATTTCCAAGCTAACTTGAAAAAACTAAATGCCGCTAAAATACTTTTTCTCTAGTGAAAAATCGTACGTCCAATCGTCAATGCATGGATAGACGAACGATTTTTATTTCATTCTTCTGTGTGTAAATCTAAATCTCAATGCATATCAATTTTTATAAATACTAGAGACCTTACGCAAACAGGACGGCGCCTTTGTAATAGCGTGTAAGAAATGACGTTGCTTCCGCTTTTGCTAACCATATATATGCATAGATTAGCAAAAGCAGAAGCAACGCTTACACGCCATTTCTTACACGCCATTACGAAGGTGCCCTCCTGTTTGCGAAAGCTCTCTACTAATATATAACGCTTTTACTTTGTTATCATAAAGTCTTGGTGATATTATTATAAGGCTATATTATTGATAAATATAAATTGTGAACTTGCTTTCTATAGGATCGTGCCCTGACCCTTCAAAAACTACAAATGCAAAAGTGATCGGTAACGGCTTTTACAGTGGAAGAGAAGTGGAATTTGAATGCCCTGAGGACAAAGTTCTAAGTCCAAAAAATTCTCGGAAAATAACTTGTGAGGGCGGCGTTTGGAACGGAATAATTCCATCATGTAAAGGTATATAAAATCGAAACAAAATTGAAAGATTGATATTTACTCCCTGATCCAGAGGAATTACTGTTGAATTTTCAATCGCTACTAAAGCTAAGATAAATTGCCTGCTTAATGCAGCGGGAACATGGGTATTTTATATGACTTTCATTTTTACAGTATAATAAAAATCAGCTTTCGATTCATTGTAATCAATCCATAATATAAGCTTAGTTCTCACTAGCTCATTAGATATTATTTGCTTTATTTGAAATGACAAGGACACAATGGCAATATTTATACACAAAAGAGACCAGGCTGCACAGGGAGACTGTGGCGCATTCTCCTTCCCTTCCAGTTAAGCTGTTAAAAAGGCCCTGAAGAGACCTTCCTAAATTTCGTCTTGTTTTCTATTTTAAAATTTATTTCTTCAATTAAATCTTTATGTACAGCCTCATGCCCACCACTGACGAGAATACCCTCAAATGGTTTTGCAAACAGTAGAAGTCGAGTACACGGTGCATTAATTCAGTTCGGATGCAATCATGGATATACGATAATCGGATCATCATCTAGTATTAAATGTCATGACGGAAGATGGTCAGATATCCCACCAGAATGTGTAGGTTCGTATTTTGGTCTTTCTTATTTTTGCCATCCAGATAACTGTAGTCTTTTGAATAGCGAGAAATATTTAGTTAAGAGTAAACAAGAAAAAACAAGAGTTATGTGCAATTTTGTTGTGCGTAAAATTCTTTTACATTTATTTTTAGCCTTTTGCAGAAAAATTTCATTTATTAAGAACGGCCAGGTGCTTGGTGGCGGATCACTGGAAGGGGACGAATTAAGTTTTGTTTGTAATAAACACTACGTGTTGGTTGGGGAAAAAGCTCTTCGATGTAAAAGCAGTGGTAAATGGAACGCCTCAGAACCAAAGTGTAAAGGTAATTAAGTAGTTATTCTCGAAATTTTACTTCTTCGAAATATTTGTTAATGTTGTTTTGTTACAGGTAGTTTCCGGAGTTATGTCCATAGGTTCGGTTTATGTGTAAAGTAGGTGACAATAGATATAAAAATTGACGAGATGGCCGTAATTAAAACCGTTTCTATTTTTTCAGTCGAAGCTTCATGGTCGAGGTGGGGAGAATGGACTGATTGCTCAGTTTCGTGTGATAATGGAATTCAAACACGCCAAAGAACGTGCATTGGGACTAATTCCGTTCTGGGTGACAACACTCTATGCGGTGAAAAGTCTTTGGAGTCTCGGGCATGCGCAAACTGGAAATGTCCAGGTAAAGAAAATGTAATACCCAATTGTACGCACCGGTATAGCTAGAGCACCGGGATTTCCAACGGACGTTAAGATACATTTTACGTAATTATAAAAATGGCATGCCAGCAGACGATTTAAAGAAGAAAAGTAAAAAAAATTCCTGAAAGACAAGATCTTCATTATGAGAGACCACTACAGTCTGTTTCATCCGTTTAGGATTGCCACCTGAAGATTCTAATAATTACTATCGAGCAATCATTTAATGATACAGCATCTTTATATATTTGCACATCAGTTACAGACACAAGTTAGACTACATGAAACATGCACCACTGGCACGCAGGAGCAGGCCTCGCAACGTCGTTTGGTTCAACCCTCTTTTCAGTAAGAGTGTCGGACACACAGCCACACAACACTTCCCGCCCAGACACATTTAAGGTAAAACCACAGTTGTATGGGCAACTGCATCACTAAGAGCACCTTTTCTCCCTAAGAAATAAGTGCGTGACCAAGAATCATAGCATACAAGCTAGGCAGCTGTCACCACCAGCAATGCAAACACGTGTAATCAGAAAAGAATGTTCCGCGCCGATTACGTTATGCGAAAAAATATTGGGAACCATGCTTTGATTTGCGACAAATTGGAACAATTTGGAACAATTTGCGACAGACTGTAAAGATAATCGATTTTAAAAGGGGTTAGTCACGCACAACATGAACATGTGCATGACTGAGTTGCCTCTTAATTAAATATCGTGCCTGCTACGCCACAGATTGTTTGAACGCCTGGGCCACCACGTTTCGACCAAAACTACTTAGGCGGCATCATTTCGTTATTTGTCTACCACCTGAAGATTCCTATACGGATGATACAGACTGTAGTGGACTATTTTGGTACGCAAAAACGTAATGTGATTACAAATATGTGATTTCGGTTTTTTTTTGTCAAAATAACTTCTTATATATCGAGTGAAGTTATGAAACAACTTTCAATGGCGAGACGAAAGACTAAGTATAGATTTTGATGTGTTATAGTTGTGTTTTTAAAGAAATTCATGGAGATATTACTTTTCAAATCGGTACAATATTTTGGGATCGATGTCTCTAAAACAAGAAGTTCTTTATATCAGAAGGAAAAATTGCTGCTGGAAATCTTAAGCAGAGATCTTCACTTCTGCATGTTTAATTCCAAAATGTCTAAATGAATTTCATTGAAGATAAGTTGTTTCTAAAATTTTTTGAGAAACTTCCGAAATGTTCTTGCAGGCATCACTGTGACCTTAATGAAGACAAAATGCATTAGGAAAGATCAGTGAACAAAACTTAAATAAAAAATGAAGAATCAGTAGCACATAGTAAATATATAGTATTCATACTTGTCATAATCATAAGTCTTAATTGCATGCCATGGTAAAAATATGAATAATAATTTATTACTGGATTTAAAATAAATAGAAATCATAAAAACTGAGGTAAAACAAGTGAGTAAATAAAAATTTAAAGAGGTCATATTATGCCTAAGATTGCATGAACTGATTACATGGTAGCCAAACTCATTGATAATGGGATGTATTATACCATTCAATATTTTAATTGTTGAGAATATGTATAGTAATTAATTTGAATAAAACTCCATAAATTTTAAGCATACAATCTGGAATTTCTGGACAAACACTTTGCTTTCATCAGGTATATCACTTTCACTTTATCTTATATTCTATGTTCGTGTAAAGTGCCGCTTTCATAGACACTTTTGAAATGCAGAACTTGGGTAGCATTTTGTTGATAGCATAGGATATTTCATCACCTAGAAGCAAACTATATTTGAATTTCATTTCTACCTCAACACTCAAAAGGCTGTATTGATTATATTTGCAAAGTTTCATGTAATGGTAAAATTTTCAAAGGAAAAAGCATACTGAAATTTCCCCACATTAAGATAAATATGCCACATAAGGCAAACTTAAACAGAAATATTATGACAAATTATGGCACAAATCAGTGAGCATGATTATATGGCATTTAACTAAAACATTCTTTCATTTAAATAAGGACATAAACAGTTTAACTCGCATGTTACAATTTATATTTTATATGGGAGCAGCTGTGGCATTTGAAAACGTGTCTTGAATAGACGAAATGCAGATAGCCTATGTAAATAATAAAATATTGCCAATTTGCCATTGGATTACCGCATTAAAAACCAAATATACTTGCTTGTGTAGTACGCGTATTGGAAATTAAATGACGAAATACAAGTATAACCATGCAAATACAAGTATAGTACCATTCTCTACATTGTAAAACCCCCTCACTGTAAGAATAAACTGGACGCCGAAAAATGCAGTACGTTTGTTTCCCAGATGAGACACCCCCCGGAATGTGTCGACAGACATGCGAAATTTTTGCAAGTCGAGATTTTGGTTGACTTTACATTCCTTGGCCAAAGAGACTGCGCACGAGTAAATGTGAAACACTTTATGTTGCGTCAAGAATAGTGTGCGGCTTGCCTAAGGGCAAGTATAAAAATAATTAATTAAGCTTTGCTCAACTGCAGCACGCATTATTAACAATATAGACACTTAACAAACTGTTGGATTAGGTAATACCACTACAAATCCTCACGATTATTCATTGAAATATCATTATATAAGTTACGATAATGTCCAAATGTTTCTTAAATGCGAGCAATGCTTGTCCCGTTATTAATGTTTGCTCTTATGCTGTGATTTTGCATAATTTAGACACATCTATAAACACGATATTATAAGTTTAATATACTATACAGCTTAATGTATGCTCCCGAGGGAAATAGTGAGTTTTGTTTTCCCAAGAGTCTTAACCCCTTTTTTTTATTTTGTTCTTATCACAAATGACGCCATCCTTGTATCTATAACTGAACAGACAAGTGAGGCAACGGTTCAAGTGTTATCTCTTTGTTAAAAATAATATTATATATGTATTTTAAGAGAGTGCTTAATACCATATTGATAGAACAAAGTTAAAAATTATATTGCTTACCAGAAATTTCAGTTATGTTAGGCAAGTAACTGTAACTCAGCTTTGAGTTGAAGGTGAGTTACCTTTTCTAATTATATTTATATCAACATATTTAGATTGTAATAAAATCTGTACAACTGGGAAGCTGGATACAACATGCGATGCTTGTATTTGTGACGATAACACACTAACTGGAGTGGTCAAAGACAACACCGGTATTCTCTTAGAGAATGCAACCATTGCTCTTGCAGAGTTTCCGTTTAAAGTATCAGGAAGTACGGGTGTTTCTGGGAAATTCGTATTGCAAGGATTCTGTATTTCAGAGGACAACATCATCGTTAGCAGAAAAGGCTATCTACCACAAACAATTAGAACGACAAAAGTTAGCCCTACTGCAGCAGTCGTGACAGCAATCTTGAGGAAAATTGGTAAGGGACAAAATTTGAAGTAATTTTATGATGTCAATAATATATATAAACATATTACTTGGTGAACACTTTACTTTGGCGTTAATTCTTGTTTGAGTGTGTTTTCAAGCAAAACCGGAAAAAGCGAGAACTCGGAAAAAACGCATCCCCGCGGGACTTTGTTTGTCCCATCAGTCACTTCAACCCGAATGCCTAGCAAGGAACTCCCCCCAACCGTGAACAACTAATAGCTCAAATACGATACAGTTTGAAGATCTTGGTAAAAAAGGCGGAGAGTGTGAACCAAAGCGTAACATGCCTTATAGTCGTTTAAGATTTTCTCTAAATCGAAAAAAAATAATGTTGAGCGACTATGAATTGAATTCGATCCTTTTTGATGGTCTGACAACTCTAACCGCGACTACAGGGGTGGATCCAGTACTACACTAATTTGCATTACACGAAAAGGTAAAGTGCTAAAAAATAACCACTTTGTAGTGCACTAGTGCTGGATCCACCCCTGCGCGACTACCCTTTCCTAATCGAAGCGGTCAAGAAACTGCCGATCTGCATCAAGGACTGATTACGTTACTGATACCAATTTTTTAGTCTTCCCAGAAATAACATCTCACCCTGAAAGTAAACTACGGCTAGAAGGTCAACCTATGACATTGTGCTGTGAAGGAAAATCAAGTACAAAGGCAAAATTTGAATGGTATGTTTTCCTTCTTAGCCAACATTTCACAATGCATAGAATAATACATATCATTCAATTAATTTCAAAATTAATCTTATTATATTCCCTTTTCTGCACACATAACTAAATTTTCTCGTCAATTAATTACCTATATGTATTTATAAAGAAAGGATACGAAAAGATAAGAAAAATCTTCGGAAGATTCCGTTAATTTAAAGTGCCTATATCACTTGTGGGATCTTTACGGATTTGAATGGGGCTTGAAAAATTTGTTTATAAGTTCTACAACCTTTTTTTTAATGGAATTAAATAGTTTCTAAAATACGTCGGTTGGGGGGACTGGGACTCAGGAATGATTTGCAAACACGCCGTCTTTTATCATGTAAACATGAATAGTTTCACTGGCGATATAGTTTCACTGGCGCTTTTTAAGAAAAAAATGCGGGAACGGTACGTTGTGTATGGCTGTAGCAACTGGGCGAATTTTTCTCAAAATATTTTACGTAATTGGAAGATCGAAGTGAAATTACAATTGATTATATTATGTTTGACAAGAACTCGGTTCCTGAGTCCCAGGCCCCCGAGCACGACGGAAATTTAAGCAAATCGTCATGTTTAGATGTAAATATTTCCGAAAATATTTAACTATATCAAAAAGGGTTGTAGAACTTATAAACTAATTTTTCAAGCTCTATTCAAATCCGTAAAGATCCCACAAGTGATATAGGCACTTTAATTTTTGGTAATTCTTGATATTTTAGGACGATTAATGATCGTGGAGCAGATGAATACCAACATGATGAAATACAAAGCAGTAAATTGATTATACCTCATGTTTTTAAAAACATGAGTGGGGAAATAAAATGTAGAGTTTACGATGATCATGGAGCAGAATTTTCACATCCTGCCAGGATAACCGTTTTTAGTAAGTATATATGTATAGTGGTATTATCTACATTATACATGTTTTTCTTTGGCCGGAAGAAAAGGATGGCGAATGACTAAATTGTTTTAATATTCATATATTCAACATTTATATTCTGCGATCTCGAGTCGTATATATATGCTGATAGCTGATATGCGATGAGAGTCAGCAAAATAACTGTTTCATTTTAGCATGCACAAGGCGCTGGATAAAAACAACTTTCAAATTTATTCGTAATTTGAACAATAATGAATACAGTTAAAAAGTTGAATAGTTAAATCCCTTATCGTGTTTTGAAACAAAATCGTATATTTTGTAAACATATATTTTTAACCTACCGTTCAACACTTTCAACAGGAAAAAATAGGTATTTTCGATAGCTCAAATGACAATAAAAGATTTAACCAAATGCAACCATTTTTTTTTGAGAAGAAGTGTTTATTCCTTAACATTATCCTCACAAAAAATTGTTAACAGTAGATGAAAGGGACATGAGTTATAACTTTCACACTCAACCCATATTTGACGACACCAAAAATTAAGGTATTACAAGAAACAAGAAAGCAAATATCTCTGAATGTATTATACATGGTTCTTTGAAACTTTGAAGTTATAATCATGAATATATTAGCTATGCAGGGAACTAGAATTATCCAGATAGGGCAAGCAGTCATATTTTTTTCTACCTGCCAAAATGTTTCATTATTTTTTTTCTGTTCAGCCACCTTAAAAGTTTCGCGCCCGGTGCACTTTGGTGTACTTTTTTCAAGGAAAACTTGAAATTCATCGTCACTTAACTCCCAAAAACTTGCCGCCATTTTGATCACGTTTCTTTATATACCAGACAGATATGAGCTAATATGAATTAATATGAGCTAATATCTGTCTAGTAGAGAGCCAATCAGATTGCAAGTTAGCCCAGCGCTTGCATGTGTATATAATAATTATCTTACTTGACTCCTTTAGTGCATTACTGTATATATCTAGAAATACATGCATGCAAAAACCATCGCCATTTTAAACCAACGTCCAAGCTCTGCGCCATGATGACAGCAATATCATCACTGAGCTATATAATAATTCCTGGAGGACCGGCTCGCCACCAAAAAGCGTACCAAAAAAGATGGCGGATTTTCAGCTTTGCTGACGCCACATGGTCCCTATTGCCCATGGTAATTACCACTGACATACCACGATACAAAGTCAAAAACGTTTTCGGTTTTCGGTATTGTTTTCGGCATATATTTTCTCCGCATTTCATCTAAAAAAACTCTTTTTCACTGTTCAACAAGTTAAATGGAGAAGTGATATATTTTTGCTTGCTCTACATATGATGCTGTGAATGGCCTAATTCACCTATCGGGGTATTAATTTTTACCTCAGGTAAGCCGGTTTTCATAATATTTTCGTTTTTCGGCCTTTGGTATAGAAAACTACCAAAGGCAAAGCGTCTGTTGCAGTTATTTCTTTTGAAATTAATGTTAAAAACGGCAAATATGCTGCAGAGTGCAGCCTTTTTGATCAATGGTACATGACTCAGTTATGCTGTGAAAAACTATATTTTATGAAAAAGGATCAATAACTGATCTTTTGAGTTTTGGCTATGTTTTGGCTTTTGAATAGAACTCTTATGGGATTTGCACTGGAGCTTTCACTCATATTTAATGCCAATTCATGAGTATTTTAATTTCAGTCAAACAATTAAGATGAATCAATATTCAATCCTCCCAGTGAATCTACTAGTCTCTCTATTGATCCTTTCTAGTCTATTTTAAATTAATTTAAAACATTAAACATGATGACTGTGTGAGTGCTGATGCAAAATATTTCTGTCAGATTTCAACAGTGGTTGTTAAAAGTCTAGTATGTTATCTTGTTTGCCTTGTCAAATGCAAAGTCAATAGTCATGGCTTAATAGACTTCTTGGCATCTTGCACCTTGTAACCTTGTTGATCAAGCTACAAGCTTGATTGTTAATTTGCAATGGTTTTTACTCCCCTCTGGCTCTGTCCTCTGGGTGTACTCTAAAGAGTACAGTTAAACTTGGTCTGATCTCTCTTTTTTAGGATGAAGATGCTATTGAATTTGGGGATGGCTTTTTTCAAATTACTGGAACATTAAACTGTTAATTTTACCATGTTGACTTTGTTATTCATAGTTAAGATAGTTATTTAAATGGAAAAGAAATTTATACAGACATGCATTGACGAGCATTTTGTTTTCAATTTGCAGCAACTTTTATAATTTTCTGGACAGTTTTACCCTCCCCGCCATTCAAAGGAATATAATCATGTGGCTAATCAGGAATTGAAGGTTAAAAGATTATAGACTAATAGAGGAATGAATAGGCTGAGTTGCATTATCATTAATTCATGAGACATTTGTTTATAGTAGCACGTACAACTAGTACCATAATCTTCTTGGTACCATAATATTTTTTTTGTTATTTACCATAGCCTTTCCATTATCTGGATTATGATTCCATATCAAATCCTTGAGTCAAGCATGGAATCATTTGAAAGTGCATTACTTGGGATACAGTAAGATAGGGGTAACATAATTAGGCTAGCTATAATGACCTGAATGAAAATATCCTATGCAAATATGACTTGAAGTACTATTACTATATAATCAGCCGCCCAGCATCTTGCATAAGGTTTGGCCTTTTTTTCCTTGAGTTATGGGCTGATATGCATAAGCATGATGTTCTAAGGAAAACATCACATAACAACATATTTTCTGCCGGTAACCTTTGGTCGGCGATTCATATCCAAATTTATATCGAAAGATAATCCAAATTTCTGACAAGACTCGAAAAATATTCAAGTATTTTCAAAAATTTTATATAGAAATGTATGAATAATGAAAATAGATAAATAAATAAAATAATCTGTCAGCTATAAATCGTACATAAAAATCCTTCGTCCACAATTTTTTTTACGTTTTAATATTAATTTTCTCTGGCATTGGCAAAACAGCGTCCACGATTGTATAGAACTGAAATAAACGCCTTATTGCAACGCTTTGTAGCACAAAAATAAATCGAAAAATACAAAACAACAAGGTTTCCAACATGTTTCACGGCAAAAAAGATATTCATAAAAAAACCAGGGGGGAAATACTGTTTCTTAGATAAACCAGGGGGGAGCATCTCCTGTAGCGGGCTCAGATTTGAGCCTGGTCAGTGGTAATTACCCTGGGCAAAGGGGACCATATGGCGTCAGCAAAACTTCTGCGCAGTGCGCAGAAGGCAAAATCCGCCATGTTTTTTGTGCAAAAAGATGGCGGCGAAGTTACCGAAAAATGACGAACCGGTCCTCCAGGAATTATTATATAGCTCAGTGAATATCATACGTTAATTACGTCGAATCAGCTTTCCGGCTTGTGGGAATTTCAAAAACAGAAATTAACGTAATTAAGCGAATTCAAAAATTAATAACTTTTTATTAACCGAGCGCGAGGTCTTTACCGAGAAATATCGGACCGAGTTTTTTTTTAACAGACCAAGCTCGAGGTTAGTGCAAAAAGAGCGAGTTCCGACATACATCGGGCAGGATGAGAAAAACCGGCCCGATGTGAAACGCTCCTAAGCCAATCAGATTGCTTCATTTACATAGTTAAAAAAGAACGACTTTTATTGCTTTTTAAACCACGCATGCAGTGAGGACTCCAAAGTTTACTTAGTTAAGTCCCGTATACACTTGCAATTTTTTCTGCGATTTTATGCGATTATTATCTTTTGATAGGCATGAAGGAATGAATTAGCTTACGGATGTTCTTATCGGTGTTACGGATGTTCTTGATGTAACTTATTATTCGTTCACAGCACTCGAAATAAGAAAATCGGAGCAAAAATCAAAACTCAGTCTTTCAAAATATATTATCTCTCATTCGATCTTGTCTCGATATTGAAATACTTGTTTCGTGAACGGTGAACGCCTTCCAGCCTTATTTCCATCATCTTTTAATTTGGTTTACAAACTCCTTCTAACTCTGAATACTTTATTTTAACAGATACCACTGATGATAGTTGCGATCCGACACCATCTCAACACATAATTGCACTGCCGCAGGGCTGCACGGCAGGAGAAACAAACTCAGTTACCATTGACGTAGGTGATTGTGCGAAAACAAAATGCATCGCACGAGGTCTAAAAAATATGAACTATTGTAAAGATAAATTCTGCTGCCAGCCCATTGCTACAAGGAACATCAAGGTCGTTTGTTCACAGCATTCGTTTGACATGAAAAGTGTAACAAAATGTGGTTGCGGCGATTGCCCTGTGAAACAAACTGTTGTTAAAGGAGTAGCAAGAGGAGGTCCAGACAATAAACCTTTTAAATATGGATATATTTATCACGGTGATAAATATTTGGCTCGTACTGGAAGGAAGGGTGATTTTTCATTTAAAGTTCCTGGTGATTTTTCTCGCTTTGCTGTAACGTTTAAGGATAAACGTAATTATAACAATTTTCAGGAATTAACAAAAGTAATTCCGTTGGTCACTGGCCGTGAAACGTATATAGAAGTCCGACTGAAGCCTCGGCCTGAACCTATTAAAGTTGATGCGAAGATGGGCTTTGAGATTTCCCTGGGAAACTCGCAAAATACCCGTGGATTAAATAAGTCAAACGAGGAAAATGTAGTTGACAATGACGACGCACAATTAGAACCTGCTGTAGCATTTGCTGTCCCTCCCCAAGGCTTGTTGACAGAACATGGAGAAATTTATAACGGGACGGTCAAGGTTGAGGTCAATTTTGTTGATCCGAGAAACGTTACAGAAGTGGAAGAAGCCGATGGAGACTTCACCACGGTGGACGAAGATGGCGAGGAACAACAACTGGAGACTTTTGGGGTGATAAAAATGGATTTTAAAGATGAAAACGATAAGAGTTTGCAACCTACAGGTGACATTGACATTTCACTTGATATTGATAAGTATAACATTACTGAAAATGAAGTAGAAAATATAAAGCTCTGGTACTTAGACGAGAAGACTGGAAGATGGCGCATTTTGGACACAAGTTGGAAAAAGCATCAAACGAAGCGATCGAAGAGATCAGATAAACATATATCACTATTTACTACCAAACTTAATGCTAGAGAATTTATTCGCTTTGATCTAAACTTAGATAAGGTGGGCGGAGAGATTTATTTGAAAGTTATGGCAGAAGACACCACAAAGAAAGCAGAGTCAGTCCTTATTACAGTATTTGTTACGCAAAGTAGAGTGAATTATAGATATCGATCGTATAACATCGAACCGAATAAAGCACATTGTATAAAAACATTTCGGACAGATGAATTCGCGAAAATACGGGCTGTCGTTGGTGATCAATATCCACTAACGCCAAAGGAAACAGGTTTGGATGAGGATGTTATAAAGAAACATCTCATAAAAATAATCTCGGAAGGATCGCATGGATACTTCACAATGCAAACGTTAAATAGGCCATTGAGTAATAGACCCTCGCCATTCTATGAAGATGAAGCTTCTTGCCTAGAAGGTCCAGAGGAGTATAGTTTCTTATTCGAGATGCCTGTGCGAGAAGAATTAAAGAAAATTGAAGACGTTAGACAAATTGACGATGAGGACTGGTACACAGAAAATAATAAAGGGGTCGTTGTATGTTACGTACAAATTGCGGTGGAGAATATCAACGAGTGTCCAAATAAAATGGCAGCATTCAAAGTTGAAAGTATGCGCGCTACCAAAATTTTACAAGGATTTGTCATAGTATCGATGACGGAATCCAAGCCCACTGCCTGTGCTGAATTCAAATGCACCCGAAGTGATCACCATGATATGACTGTAATTGTTAGGTCCCTTTCCCCTGGATGGTTTACACAAGATAATCTAGCGACAAAAACATTTATGAGGAAAAAAGAACAGTACGGAATGGATGGTATCATATACGACAACGGAGTGTTTGTGTTCCGACCGGCACATTTACGCACAAATGCACAAATCGGAATATTTCATGGTCAAAATAGAGTGAGTCCAGATAAGGATGGAAGAAAGGAAGAAAATGATGCCTGCATGGAAGATTCTGAAACAGCTGCAATAAGGTTTAGATGCGCCATTTTCTGAAAATGATTTAGTTATTTGACAGCCGTAAATGTTTTTAAAAGCTACTCAAAAGCTACATGCTTTTAGAGGTACATATAACCATTTATATAATGAAACGCTTAAGCAATAATACTTACTCCACGATAGAATTCCACAATGTGCACCGAGATGAAATTGTATCATGCACTATTAATTTTCGATGTCACCAAATTAATCAAGTACGTTTTGTGTGTGTGTTTTAGATTGATGAATAAACAATAAAAGTAGGGTTTGTTACATGGGGTAAAAAAAGGTTTATTCACTGAGCAGAGTGATTTTTCCGTTCATTTTTCCATTGTTTTAGCCTCAAATTTTCTCTACAATTAGAATTGAAATCTGTCTTTGATACCTATCTTCCAAAAAGGACAATTAAAATCCATCAGTCAGATCGCCCGGATGACAAACAAACTTAAGATGTAAATTAGAAAATGCCAGTCTGCTTTCCAGATGAATCGGAAGGAATCGTCTATAGTTATACAGGTATTGGAGGAATAAAATCCTAGATGAAATTAAATTAGTCAAGACGCATTTTTATACACATAAAGGGGCAGAATTAAGTCAGACTAACCCTTTGAAATGGTGGAATCAGATAAAAAAGCAAAAGCTTATGGGACAAGATATCCAGCAGGAGTGGTTAGTACTATCAATTTCTTAGCGGCAATGAAAATGTTAAGATGCTAGCAGACAAAATTAATGATTAGTTCTCAAGCATAACTGAGAATTTTTCACCGTTATCCCCATCATTACCTTCTTGCTCAACTCAGCACGTGCTAAATGAATTCCTTGTCTTTGAAGCAGAGGTTTATCGATGGCTTTCGTCCATACAAGATAACAAGTTTATTGGCATCAAGCTGTGAAAATTGATGGAACTTATTTATCAGAATGAAAATTGTCCAATGGCGGCATACCTCAGCATAGGTGTAGAGTTTTGTTTTCTTCTGGGGGGGCTCAAACTTTAGATTAACGATATGTAGCTGGCATTACCTTCTGACATTAGATACAGTTAAATATACAATAAATTTCCTCTTGATATATAGTTACATCGGTAGTCATGGTTTATATGGCAGATAGGTGGAGAAAATAATTACCAATGATTATGACCTGTTGTGGGTAGAAAGGCTAATGAAAGATAAAATGAACAAGCTGCCATGTATTTTATAATTTTATAACTCGAAAATTCTGTATTTCGCAATGGCTTTTCCGAGTTGTTTAATATATTATTATATTCACTATGATAATTAATACCGTTTCATGTGTATGTAACGATGCCTTTTCAAAGATTCAACATTGCTCTGATGCAAAATATTACTTTCTGGAAAATTTCTAGGGGGGCTGAGTCCCCCCCCCAGTAAGCTCAGCCTCTAGCCCCTCAGCCCCCCCATACTCTAAGCCTATGTACCTCAGGGAACTAAACTTGGTGTTATCCTTTACTGTAGCGTTAGAGATCGTTCCCAGAAATTCAATCAGTTACCTGAATCACGCGGCAGACGAAATATATCAATATTCAATTACAGTTACCACATGAGCCTCAACCCACGTAAATGCAAGGAGGTGGTACTAATTTTTTTGAATCATGGTAATTTCACAATGCGACCAATCGTTATAGGGACCACTGTAGGAGAGAGGGTGTCTGCTTATAAACTACATGGAGTGCAACTAAATGAGGATCTCAAATGGAATGTCCAGGTTGACTATATATACAAGAAAGCAATTGTAAGAAGCTGTACTCCCTACGTGTTCTAAGCATAACTGGCATTGCGCAAAGAGATATATTAAAGGTGTATCTATCTGATCTGAGATCATGACGTCATAAAGCGTCTCAAGTTATCATGCACCTGGTGTTATTTGTCCGTATTCTTCTAATTAATAATATAAAGAGTGAAAAATTTAAATTCTAATTTACAGTTAAAAAAAAATAAACGTGTTTTCACATAAATATAATAAAATTACTTGATATTTTCGAGTGTCGAAGTCATATGCAATGAAGAAAATGATAATTCATTTTTGTCGAAAATCTGGCTTCTGACTGGTTGATTTTTATACCCAGATCAGCTGGAAGTGCATGACATTATGAGATTGGTTCATTTTCTTTTTTGTTCTGTTGTATTACCCAATAAATTATCATATTCGTAATAATTATATGCACAAAATTTTGCGGTCGATTTTCTCTGCAACCAAAAAATCTGCGGACTGTATTTCTAAATTGAATTGACCTGTTTTTAAATTTTTGCTTGTGCTAAAAATATTAACAAAGCCGTGATTCAGTGTCAGTTAATTGGTCAGATTTCTTGGTTCACAGGAACCCACTAAATTTTGTGTGTTTTTTCTTCACCACTGTTACAATCGTTTTTGATTTTTTTTTCACTGATGAAAAGTATGTACTGTGCCATCAAACAACGCGGGAAGCTTGTTTCGTCCCAACCAAACCTATCCGGGCGTCGCGTATTTCATGGTATATCGAGAAACAGCGAAGTGCTCGAAGAAAATGCTATTTGCAACAATGCACGAGGCCTACATGGAACCGACATTCATCGAAATTAAAGCGTTTAATGGCGCTGCTACTACAAAGGAAAGAGTGACAAGCAAGAAAACTGCTCAAGTTGTCAAAGATCACGACCACCAACCTACGAAGGATCTAGTAAATACGTCCAATCGCTTTTGTCGTTCGGCATGTGGGAATGTAGACAGAGAGGACAGCGAACGACCATCAGCCTACCCAAAAACTCCGTGTCGGCTTGTCGTTGTTGAACAAGCTTCGTTCAGTGCACTGACTGCTGACGGACTTCGCGACCTGGTAACTGCACCAAGTGACATAACGACCACATTGCGTTACATTGGACTGATCATGCCACGTTGCGATCACGCGCTGCATCGTGGTATCGTCTATGGTAAACCAGGCGGCGCAACGCTTACGTTTGTGAAATTGATGGAAGTTGAAATATACCAGAACCGATTACTCGCCAACGATGCGTTAAGGGAAAGAATTCTGAAACACATGGCCAGAATAATACACCTGCTTTACGCACGGCGTACCCAACTTGCCCTCCGGAAAAAAAAATGAAAAACTCCGAACAACCGTGCAAAATTTATTTGTAGCGGAGACATATTGTAGCATTTTGGCTGTTGTCACTTTGTATATAATGCATGAATATATATATCAAGCTTAGGACTTGCATGATTTTGAAATATTTTTAGACTTTTATTGCATGCGTGTGGAGCACGGCCCTTTGAAAAACAGGTCACTGAAAGGCTACCGTGCATAAATATGTTTAAATAATAATAATAATAATCTAATCTCGCGCGTTTATTGCGTACGAGCGTACAACTCCACCCCTCGTTCTCTTCGAAACCAAATGGGATCATTCCCCACATCGTGTCAAAGGCAACGCTTAAATCCAGTAAAAACAATAGAGACACACGCTGACCGCTCATATTCAGCGAAAGTCATTGGTTACTTTAGGCATGGTTTCAGTACTATGGTACTTACGATACTTGCAGATTGTGATTTGGGATAAAGTGCATTCAAGAACAAGTGGTTATTTAATTGTTTAAAAACTGCTTTCTCATTGAGTTTAGATATGTACGATAAATTGCTGATTAGGCGGAGGTAGAGGTTGGAGAAACTACAGCTAAGGTCCACATTTTTCATAGGTGCATAGCCGATAGCCTCTTTCCATATTTCAGGAAATACACCACATTTGAGAGACGAATTTATTAGAGATGTGCATGATAACAGGTAATAGGATGTCTAAACATTCTAACATCAGAGGCGTACGCATAGGATCAAGTGCACAATGTTTCCTGCCAGTATCCCAGATAATGTTAGAGCATCATCTACACTGAGAGGATTGAATTTTAGTAGTTTGCATAAATTTGTTGGAGTTGTTGGTACATTTGCTGGTTCATGCAGATTATTTGAAAATATTGACCAAGGTCGTTTAGGAGGCGGTTCTAGTCTGGAAAGCTTAGATTATTACATTTTTGGAACAAGTAGTCTGTTTTCAAATGTTTGTGGAAATCGAATTATATATTGTAAATTACACATTTTACGTCAAAATTTTACAATGGCAGAAATTTTGTTTTAATGCTGTAAAAATCCCTTTTAGAACTGGGATATCTGGATATGATAAAGGCACGCATGTTGTTACACAAGTGTCAGAGTATGCCAGAATGTAGCATTAGTACGTTACTCATTAACCTGAACGTTAACGAGCGTCCTTAACTAAAGTATGAATTATGAGCATGGGCTACTTTCCACTTAAGGCTGCTTTCCACTGACGCGTATTTTATAGGCACATACAGAAAATTTGAAATGCTTTCAAATTTTTATTATATAACATCTAGATTAACTAGTGCATACTAAAACATGCAGAAAACTAAGTTCCTTCGATCTATTGACTTAGTTTTTTCAAAGGTAACATGTATAAGGATATAGACTTTTACGTGCGTGTACCTGCGTATGAAAAACGCGTAAGTGGAAAACGCGTTTTTTCACGCACGGAAAATTTTAAATGCTTCCAAAATTTTATCACGTGACACAAGGAAGTTAATTTTTAATGTTCTGTATTAGGGAAATGATACCGTGTAATAGCCCAGCCTCGTACCCAGGCGCTTTATTGGAAAACGTAAAGGCTGCATTCAGCGTAATATAGAGATCTGTGGCTGAGATGTGCGAGCGCGCAGGGGTGCTTGGGGAGGACGCGACGGGAGAACGAAGCAAGAAAACCAAATTAGGGACCGGTCATTATTTATGGTGGGGAGTGGCACCAAAGAGAAAAGGGTTGGGTAAACAAAATTTTTAGCAAGTAAAAGGTTGGGTAAATGAAAAACAGAACATGTGAAGGGTTGGGTAAGAAAATTTCAATGTAATTTTTGCGCACAACTATTTCAATTATTAAAGACTTATGTATAAAAAGCATGTCAACTGTCAAATTGTCAATCCAGTACATAAAAATCAGTCAGAGTCACTCGACTCACTATCATGATAATTGTTAGATTTTTTAGGTGCAATAGCTGCCCTCATCCTTTTTTTCTTCGCAACTTTGCTACGTTGTTCTTTCTGCCTTCTGGCACTTCTTCTTTTCTCAAATTCTAAAACCGAAGTAGCATCAAATCTTTTTCTCAATTGAGAGAGCGAAAATTGTAGATTGTTTTAAACAAGACTCTCAACACTATTCAAAATGGGTGTTAGTTGTTCAACAGAAGTGTCTATGAAACCTATTTCATCATTTGCCCAAACTTTTGGAAACATGTTTACATCCAACAACCCCTTTCTTCGACCCATTAACTTTTCCTTCATGTTTCTCACAGAAAACAAAGTTCCTTCCATATGTTTCCATGCTCTTTGACACTTGCTAACATCTTCTACCTTTACATCAGCTGGTATGGCTGCAGATTGATACCTTTCCAAGTTTATATTCTCTTTTGGAACCACTCCTCGTTGGTAGGACTCAAATACTTTCTGGATATTTTCTAATTCCACTTTAATGCCCCAGCGAAATTTTCGTTGTCCTTCTAAGTAAGCTTGAAAAGAGGACTGCTTCTTTGAGTATGCAGATTTATACACATTTTCAGTAATAGAGTTGTAGTATGTTAACCTATCTGTCTTCACATTTGGAATGTAGAACTTCTCCCATGGTTTGACATTTTTAACATCTGCATCTCCACCAACAACAAACTTGCCAGTAACAAATGAGATAGCTGGAAATTGTCAAGATCGATATATATTTAATTATATAAATCAGACATACAGTGTAATACAGGCAAATTCTGTACATCAGTACACAAAATCACAAATAATACAATAAAATCATGGATGCTGATAGAAGTTTTAGAAACAATACACAAAGCCTTGGTTGTAAGTTTCAAAACTTGATAAAATGCATAACAATAAATAATATAAACATATTAAATTTTTTATAACTTACTCTTTTGTCTGTTCATTCGCTCAACTTGAGGTTTCTGAATATTTGTTGCTTGCAAGTTGAGATCCTTTTCAGGCAATAATTCTGACAATGATCCACCAACGCAGGCTTTATCAGCATCAGTTTTAATAGTTCTTGCCAGCTTGAGACTTTCCAAAGACTTCTTGAATTTCAAAACATGACCAGGCTTGGTAGACATACCCACAATATCAAACATCTGGTTCAGTTCTTCGTTGGTTGCATCGATTAACAAACCAATGTCATCATAACCTGTATCCTTAAATCGATCCAAATACAATGCTGTAAAATTTAGAGACGATAGAAAATTTGCGAAGCCATCCGCCATCTTTAAAAATGTGTGGCACTGTCCGCACTGATGCACTGATGAGACTGGGCCTGGTTCTGCGAACCTGTCAAGGTTGTCAAGGGCATGGTCAAGGGTCAACAGCATAGCAACTAGCATAGCAACCGAACCTACAACGTCACAGCACGTCATGATATCAAATGATAGGTCTTTTGAGTTTTGTTATACCGAATGAGTTGTGACCACAAGATATGGGAGACATGCTGGGCCATGGAATCTGTACCAGCTAGAATGAGCTAACATTGCCCGCCTATATAGATAGCCATGTTGCCCTGCTGTTACGTTATTAAAACTATCAATTTGAAAACTATAATCAGGCGTACTGATAATTATCAACCCTATTATCAAGCTATTAATATACAGTATAAAACAAGATTCAAAGCCATAAAACAAAAGTTATAATTAAAGGACATGTATGACAACTTAATACCACTATCATTTTGTACAGTTTTCGGCAAGGGGTGGGTACTTATTTTTTATTAAATATTCAAGGTTGGGTAAAGAAAAATTTTAATTTTTTAATGGTTGGGTCAGTAAGATTTTTATCAAGCAAAACATTTCTCTTCGGTGCCACCCCCCACCATAAATAATGACCGGTCCCTTAATAAAGAAGTCAAACAGATGGAAGAAATGTGCAACCTAAATCTGATGTAAATCATTGCATATTCGAGTAGATACTCTTCTTTCAGCGCTCGTAAATAACTGTTTGCGCCTTAATATTCGAAAATGATGAATAATACAACGCAGTGATAATTTTTGCACAAAATCTTTCCCAAATGTACCGCCCGGTGATAGGGTGTACGGCAATTTGCTCATTTGCATCTATGAAATATATGAATAAATCGTTCGCCGGCGCCATATTTGTTGCATATTCTGCCAGGTGCTTCATTTGTCGCGTCCTCCCCAAGCACCCCTGCGCGCTCGCACATCTCAGCCACAGATCTCTATATTACGCTGAATGCAACCTTTATGTTTTCCAATAAAGCGCCTGGGTACGAGGCTGGTAATAGCCAATAATTTTTGCAGTTATCACTATTCAGTGGCATCTTACCCTACATTAATTTGTTTTTATCGTTACGGGTGAATGGCGTCTCTAAGGTAACCGCATGTCGCAATTAATATTTGCGATGTTCTTGCTGTTGCAATTTTAGTTTCATTTTGGGATTCCTTTCAATTGAACGGGGTGATTAGCTCATCAATAGATATTAAGTGCTGTTACACGAATCTGGAATAACTGCTGTTTACTGTAATAAAGGTGAGAGTCCATTAAATGTATTAAATCAGGTACTGAGAAGTAATTGGTTTAGTTACAGCTTTTGACTTCAAAATTGAGAATAAAATCGTAAAGTTCTGCATGATAGCGTGGCCAACAACACGCGATAAATGTCGATTACTATACTTAAGTATACTTTCCTATACTGATACAAAAGACAACGCAGATATTTGATGTGTGATTTTTGCATTTCAACCATGCGAGTTAAACCAGTAGTGTAAAACAAAATTATGATCGCGCCATACACTCAACCACGTCATGCGGCTACCTGTAAATATAACACATGAACATCTGGGGCCGGTTGTATCAATCCCGTTTAGCTTAAACGGTGGATAAGTCAAAGTTAAATAACACTTTTACATCTTTCTTGAATGAGTCAACTTGAATATTATGCCCTGGATATGTAGTTCTAAATAGTAATAAAACGAAAGACTTGCTTTCTATTTTGAACTTATCCACCGTTTAAGCTAACGGGCTTGATACAACCGGCCCCTAGATTAAACAGACGATTGCGTACTGGAAATACGGAAATCATCAAGATCTGGGCGAATTCGTTTATATTTCGAGAACCCAACCTTCTGATTGACTTTGCCTGAAAAGTGTACTAAAAATTCCTCCTCGTTGTTGATTTGTGCTTCATAAAGAATTTCCGAAATGTACGTTTGTTGTTCGGTTGATCATATATGGACTTACTCATAGTGATAAAAATGCATAAAACTTCCCATTTTAGTGAAAAAATATAAACCGAAACACCAAATCCTGCTAACGTGCTACTGTGAATTGCTGTAAAGAAAGACTACAACAATGACAAAATGACTTTACGGCGAGGATAAATTTCAGTTATGTCGCCAGGCTGACATATTCATATATTCATGTTGTGCAAGATTAATTTATTTTTAAACCATTGTCTTTACATGCTGTTAACATGAATATATCCCCCCCCTTCCCCAATTATTAGAGAGTTTCCGAAAGCACAACGGCAACGGCGACGGCAACTTCATTTATGGCGTTGGCGTTGCCGTTTCGTGTAGCATTCATTCCGTAAAATGTTTATTTTGGCGCGAAACGTCATCAAAAATGTTATAATACTGTGTGGTTCTATCCTTAAACAAAGATGAGTTTTAGAGAAAATAGAATAGCATTACTGCATGCTCACGATGAAGGTTACATTGACGACGAAGAGTTCTTAATGCTCTAGGATGTAAACAGATCAACAAATCTTGATTTGCCATATTGGGACTACGAACAGTTTGACCTGGATAATCTTTGCAATGACGAGTGTAAAGCTGAGTTTCGCTTCCTAAAAAATGACATATACACGCTTTATGAAGTTCTGAAATTCCCAGAGGAAATGAAATGTGCCAATGGTTTTAAAGTTTCGGGCCTGACTGCACTCTGTCGGTTCTTCTCAAAAGATTTGCATATCCTTGCAGGTATTTGGATATTATGCCTAGATTTGCCCTATCTGTCCCACAACTTTCAATGGTAAGCAATCTTGCTAAAATACTTTTTCTCGTGTAAACGATTTTGGGGTGTAAGCACAGATCAAAATAAAGACATACATACCTTTTTTGTTTCTCTTGAGCAGCCATGTTTAGTGAGTTTTGTCTTTTTGATCTCGCGTTTTAGCTGCGACGTGAGATTTGTTTATTTCACGTCGGTCGCGTGAAGCGAAAACGTCGATTTGGGGTTTCCTCTGACTGGCTCATGCGCAGTTTTATTAAGATATCGTTCTTGCGTTGCCATCGCCGTCGCCGTTGTGCTTTCGGAAACTCGCTATTGTCTCCAGTACGCCACTGTGAATATATTATCTACCAGAAATACATGCATGCAGAAACCATTACCATTTCCCACTAAGGTAACATGAAGTAAACATTACCCGGGCTAGTGTTCTTTGTTACACTGAGAAAAAGCATTTATTGAAGTAAATAGACCATCTCTGCTTAAATGACTTCTAGTTAAGATTTCAAAGTGCGATGCCTCCAAAAATGATGCTGCTACTTACAATGCAGGGGTGTGGAGAACTAACTAGGAGTGGGGGGAGGGGGATGTCACTTAATATTGACTTTTATAATAAAAAATGTTTATAATAAATAGTTTTATTTATTTGAGGTTCAGCTTCGAGGCAAAAATATTTAGAACTAAATAAAACTAATTCCCTCGTTTTAGCGTTAAAACCTAGTTTGTTATCGTGTTTACAAAAATCGTCCCGTCATTGGCTGGTGAGTTTGGTCTGAGTACTATAGTGAATATGGCCTTAAGTCGTCTAATACCAAAAAATATAAAAAAAATTTCATACCATTCTGCAAGCCAAGTTGTTCCGAGTGAAAAAAGTTTTGCATATATTCATAAATTATAATACAATAGAGTAATTAACAAGTGACCCCATTCGTTTCCTCGAGGTAAACCTCTATATATTAATAAAAGTTTTCGTTTAATTATCGGGATCTTGCGTTCTTTACATTTTTTTGAGAAATAGTAATTAGGATTGATTAGGGAGACATTTAATAAATCGTGATTTTTTGGTATAAGGCCACCTTAACAAGATTTGCATTGAAAAGAAAAAAAATTGCGTGAATAACTAAATAATTATGTCGAATTCAAAAATGTCACTGCAGTTACAGAAGTTACTAATAGAAAGGACTAGAAAATAAGAGTTTTCATAGACAGCGGAAGATCGTTATATTCATTTCTGGAGGCCGTAAATACAATTAATTTCGAAAGGAATCAGTCAGATTGTAATTATTTCATTACAGGCCTAGGAAAAATGAAGAGAGGCAACGATGAAGGTAAATGTATTGTACCCAGACATAGGCATAAATTTTGGTCGCCATTTAAAGCGGAGAAAAGGAAACATTAGTGCACGAAGTCTACTTTTATCAGACATGGCATAGGTATATCACAAAATTTGCCAAATTTGTCATGAGAGAAGCTGCGATGGTTAGTCTTGTAACGAGAAATACATGAATGCAGGGACACCTCGGCTTCTCTGTTTCAATCAAAGCAAAATAATTTTCTCAACTAGCCAGACCTGAGGCTATAAGTTTATAATACTAAATTATTCAAATGAGTCGAAAGCTGACATTTTTATTATTCAGAGACAAATTATATATAAAGTGAAGAAAACATCAGCCGTTTCACTCTGCATCAAGCAAGCAGATTATAAGGACTTTCACAGTTTAAGTAAGGGTTAAGTTTAACCTTCCAAATATCAAAACGGAACAAAATGACTCACAAGGACCAAGGATTGCACAATTATTTATGCAGTCGACAGGAAAAGCTTTAAAGTGAAGGATATATACTGCCATATATACTATATATAGTGGTAAAAAATTCGTGTTTATAATGTTACGCAAAATCGTGAGCAATTTTCGTCGACGTGGTCTGTTTTTGCTCAGCCGAATATATTTAAATTAACATAGAGGATCACGAAGAACAAAGAGATGGAAACACCAGTGATTTAACTGAGAACAATGCATACGAAGAGGTAAGTTTGTTTGCACTACCACTGACATGTTTTTTATTTTTTTTATTTTTTCGGTTTGACAAAAGAAAAATTAATAACAAACGTATGGATAACCCACATAAATACACAACATAACATGCACAAATTGTCAGGATCAACAACAGGGTTGAACCCGAATAACAGTGACCCGTAAATAATACTAAAATCAGCAACACTGTGATTGCTTTTACGTGTTTAGCATAGGACA